CTCTTGATTTAAAGCTCTTCCAGAGTCTCTGGAATTTCTTTGCCTCATGTGAGTAAAATACTTCTGAACTGCTTCATTATAAAGGACCTTTTCAGGCCTACTGCCTCCATTCATTAAAATACAGAAATTTGGGGATGAATCCCATGCAAAGACAGCTTGTTACCTGCTTAAGACAAGAAGTAAAAAGCAGGTTTCCAGGGAGGCTCTGGGTAGCTGCCTTGGAAATTTATCATAATCACAGGATGGTTGAGGCTGGAAGGGACCTCTGTAGGTCATTTGCCTCCTTGCTCAAGCACAGACACCTACAGCCAGTCTCTCAGGACCATGGCCGGACAGCTTTCGAGTATCTCCAAGGATGGTGATCTCTCCAGGCAACCTGTGCCGATGTTCGGTCACCCTCACAATGAAAAAGAGTTTTCCTCTCCATTCAGACAGAACATCTGACATTTGAAATAGCACAGCCTGGAGTAAGTAGTAAATAAAATATTTACGGTCCGTACCTGATATTTCAAATGCATTTTTATGGTTTTCACTGTCTTCTAGCTTTGTGATAGTCATCCCTGTTGTTGGCAGTTTTCCCTAGAAAAACCCAAAGCAGTAATACCAAAGTTAAACCCAAAACACAGAAAAAAAAGTTACCAAGTAAAGAATATATAAACTTAAAGCTCTGAACAAAGACAAACACAGTAAATTAGCAAACACACACACTGAAGGGTCTTAAAACATTTACAAATCCACACAAACACCTCGTAATGGAAGTTTTTAATATGCCCAACTCTGCAAATGTCCCCTGTGACTTCTGTGAGTCCCTTTAATACCCATGCAGGCTATGAAATCCATACAAATAGAGTGGATGGATCCACTAGACCCATGTCTAGATCTATGGATCTACATCACAGCCCCAAGTTCCTGGAACAGAGACCTTGGGGGTCATCCATATTACACAACTACAGGCAACTGAGACCCATATTTAAGCATATTGGTTTGAAAACTGTTTGGTTAGCTCTCAAAATAAGGTCTGTGGTAACGAGTAGGTTTAGAAAGGAAGATTTCACTAAACAAACACATCAACTTCCTGAAGATGTCTCTAATAACTCCACTACTAAATTCACACACAGAAATTTGGAGAAAGAAAACAAAAGCAGTAAAAACACACCTAAATTTATAAAGTTGCAGAAGAACATATTAATTTTGCAGAAGATAACATCTCATTTTAAACCTAGTCAAGCTGGGGGGAAAAAAAAAGTCAGTCTAGGATGACTTTCTAACCCTTTAGAAACACAGAAGACAAAGTAACACTGAATATTGTCAAGATGAAAGGGTTTACCAAAAATGCAACTTTAATAATAAAGTGCTTTAAGACAGACCCTGTATTCTCCTGCACAGAAACACTATTCAGCACATGCTGGCAAAAGCACAAATACTACGTACTGTGGAATTTTGGCTCCAATGGAGGGGGGGTGGGGGGGAAATCCCTCCTTTTTCTTGCCTATTTGACTGCTGAATGAACAAAGGTTTCTTAGAAGCTTGGAAATTAAAATTCACTTGATATTCTGCATGCACGGTGGATGTTCAAGCCCAAGATGCCAAAGAGAAAGGAAAAGTTTTGTGGCAACAGCTTCCCCACTGAAGGAAACATGGTGGTGTTGTGTGCTACAATGCAGCCTAAGCTTCTCCTCTGTTTTTCCATGTTTGCTGGTTCATGAATAACACGGCATACAGCCACAACAAATGAGGCGCAAAAACAGCTGACTTAGGTGAAGAGGAAATACGGGGATACACCAAGCAAAAGGCTGGTGACAGAAAAAGATCACCTGAGCCACACGCAGAGGAAAAGTACTAAGTCAGCAAAACAGAGGGAAAAGGAAAATCAACTCATGAATCATTCATAATCCTTTTCTTTCAACAAAGTTGTGAAGCCACCTTGTGAAGTACGGTTGTGCCCCTTGGGACTTCGGTGTGCCACTGCTGAGGAGTTCTCCCAAATTAGCTCACGCGGCAGGTACCAGCACTATCAACCAGAACATCTGAAGACTGCTAGCTGGAAAATGCGGAAATACAGGGTGGGTGTGGTGTAGGATGCTGCCTCCAGCGGCATCATTTCCCTGGGAATGACTGAGGGAGCTGCATCATCCTTCTGCCTGTATCCATCCTAGTTCTGAGATAAGAACCTTGGAAAAGGCTGGGTGGCCCACGTTGCACAGTCCAGACATCAAGAGCGATGAAGTAATTCTGCCTTGTTGTAAACAAGTTGTCATTAACACCTGAGCAGTTCTCAGCACTGGGAGAATCACGTGAGAGGTTATGAGGAAATTAAGAGCTTTGCATTCACAGAGGGTTGGACAGCCAACACAAAGAAAGGGCTGTGGCCACATTGAGCAGAAGCTAGAGACAAATGCACAGAAAATTGCTAGTTTACCGATCAATGCTGGGCACCTGGGGGACAAGGTGGGAGAGAGGAGGAAGAAATAAAGTGATGTACAATAGGAGAACAAAACTAAGCCTGACTGATTAACTGTTCAGTTTTGTATTATTTGCTAACACACTAAATTTCCAGTCAGTTGCCTTTGTGATCTGTACACAAAAATCCTCCTTCGTCAGGAATTCCCTATGTTCCACTTGAAATACAGAGCTCACCTGCCTTTTCTAATATCTTTTTTTCATCCACGTTGGGATAAAGCACTGGCCAAAGATTCTGAAGAGCAGCACAAAGCCAAGAGAAACCTGATTGTGCGTTTGAACCACCTAACACAACACGATCTGACAAATACAGCGTAGGTAAGACACGAATCCAAAGATTCATTTGGGAATTAAACTGCTCTTACAGTCACACAGCCTGTGACTGGATATAGCTGAACACACAGGAACCCCAAATGACTACTCTCTTCTGCATTCCTTCACAGCAGATGAAACACTCCTCAGGAGAAAGGAACAAACTGCTTGAGAGCCTGATGTACTGAAGTACTTGCAGCAGGTGAAATCTATTGCTGTTCCTCCGTGATGCCTCAAAACTGCACAGCAATACCCAAAGAACATTTATAAAGACTTCAGAAGCTCATCGTGCAATGAAGCTTTAACGTCACCTCTCTGGGGGGTCTCTGAAACTGCACACCCAGAACATGAACTTCTGTGAAACATGCCCCAGAGCTACAGGGGAGCCAACCCAATCAGCACTGATCCTCCTGCACTACGGCAGAGCTGCTGTATTCCTGCAGGGGGGAAACATGCAAGAAGTATTCCGCAGGGAAAGTTGCTAGAGAGCTCAAAGGCCATCTAGGAGCAGCAAGTAATGGATCTGTGAAGTGAAACACCTGGTGCTAAGGACCCAAAGGCCACTGGGCATGCATTTAAGGTGGTGTTACACTGGGCTGGCTGTAGGCTGGGGCCACGGACACAATGCCATGAACTTGGTCTGCTCCAGCAGTTATAGCTTGGAGTGCACCTTCCAGTTCAGCTTCGTCCAGAGGGAGTCCAGCCTGTGAGGCCTGAGACTACTTCTACACTGCAACTCAAATATCCCTGAACAGGGAAACGAGAAGATTCATTGCAAAAGTGCTCTGCTGACTCAGAGATAAAACACTATGGAGAGACTTCTAAACAAACAGATGGTAGCACAGCCTAACTCACACCAGCGCGTTGTAATTTTGGTAGCACTCAAGCAGCAGTCAGAAGAGCTGTAACAAGCCTGCCTGCACAACAGCATCATCTTCCTACGTAGATCTGAAGAACTACCCACACTTCCTCTCATTAGTTACTACTAAGAAGGTAAATAAGCTTTGCTTGATAGTCACAGCCACCAACCAAAAAAATCACCCCCAGGTTTCTAGCCCATAAGTTTATAAAACAGAAGGCCTGTTCTTGTATTACTTTATAGATGCCTAAGTTCAATAATCCTTCCAGGTTTTCTGTGAAAAGCCATTTAGAAAAAAGCCACCCCACCAACACATTCATATGCTGATGTACATGTATTACTTTACCTGATAGATAAACCCACTCATCCTCGGGCTGGCAGACAACATCAGCAAAATGTTAGGGAAGAGAAGAAGGTACCTTTCATTCTTTTCCTTATCAAAAAAAAGAAAATGAAGAAGTAAATACCATGTCACAAGCCCCTTTCCCCTTTTTTTGTTTTATGTTATTAAAAACTACCATCAATGTTACAACTCCATAATTACTCCGCAAATATTTGCCCCGGCAAAATTCTCTCTCTCCACAGGATTAAAAAAACATCAGAATTATTTTATTTTCTATTTGAAAAGTGCCAGTAACACATGCCTATACTTCTTCCTGGAGAAGAGAGCCTAATATTTTAAAACAGAAATGGTACAGTCTGGGTGAAATACTGACCTTGTTTAATAAGACAACAACTGTTTTGCGGATTTCAGCAAAACCAAACACACTGGATATATTTCCTAATATGATTTAGATGGCTGCTGTTACAGGAATGTCAAGACCATGGTGTCTCAAATTGGAGAGAACAGATTTTTGAATCATGTTGGATTACACCATGAAGCAGAACGAGACAGAAGCGATAATGCTTGTATTTGCAACAAAAACACCGATTACTTTATTCTAGTTTTAATTTGCTGGTTTCACTTAAGAAACTGTCCTTTGTTCTTTGTTTTGGGGGTACTTTGATGGAAGGAAGAGAAGGTTTAATCTACTGCTACAGACAAAGAAAAATGCATTAGGGTATAGTGTTTTAATTTTGATGACAAAACAAATATACCCATTGACAAAGGCACTGTCTCAGTTTCAAGCATCTTTGCAAAACAACACAAGTCCTTACCAGGTGTTAACATTTCGATCTGCTTTTCGTAAACCCTGATAAATGTTGACATCATAAAAAAAAAAGACAAAACCAAAACCAATTGCTTTTGCACAAATGAAGCTGTTCTGTAGCTATTCAAAAAGCTGTAATGCTATGCAGAAACTTGGAAGAGACCATTACCTTTGACATTTTAGCCCATGATGAGTGGGGGGTGGGGTGGTGCTTTCTTTTTCAGAATACAAGAAAAGACACAACTGCAGAAAATGCACTAGCAGCCCTACTGAATCTTATTTATTTTAACACCTAACAAATTAACTGAGAGAAAAATAGCAGGTGATGAATTTTGAAATATTTGGTTGCATAAACATTTGTCTATTTCTTCACGTTTATGGCCATCTTTGTTCCAAGGGAGGAAGCTGACTGAATGAGGTTGCAATTCAGAAGCCCTCACCAAATTCAAAGCTTCACTGATTATACAGCAGAACAACTTACAGGTTAGTGACATGTTTTTCCTGTACAACATTTCCTTTCCGTCAGCACATACTTTTAAGATTATTTTAACACTATTTCTGGTAGGACAAACCTTTTCCCTGTGTGTTTTGCTCTTTAAAAAAAAAAAAATCACCCCAGACTCTGCAGTGTCACCTTTGACTTAACATCTCTTGTTATCCTACTTCTCCAAAATCCACTTGATTCTTAAGGTTGCATTTCAATATTTACTACTTGAGCAAAGCACCCAAAACAGCGAGGGAAAATAAGTGTGCCTCAGACACCTTAAAACACAAAACTTGACAGGTTTTGTTATTTAAAACATGCTGTAATAACTGCTGTGCAAAATGATGCTGTAACATAATGACACATGGAAAATCCTGTTTAATTGCACACTTTGTAAGATGATTTTGCAGGATTTCAATGTTTATAATCATTGTATTCAGGTACTTTTCAGTAAATTTTACAGATGAAACCATCCATCTTTGAGGAAATTTATTTCACAATTTGTAAGAAAGCTTAAATGAGTAGAGAAAGATTTTTGCCAAGATTAGTATTTCTGAAGCATTCTGTTTATTTCTGGTGCATAATGATTATAAATCATTTTATTCAGATCGGAATGAAAGACTGACAGTAAAGACAGAGCAGGACATTACCTCACTTCCAGCACACTGAATCATGACCTGGGACATGTAAATCACGTTGCCAAGTGTTTTGATATCCTCTCCCTCCCAACAACGGATAGCTTCCGTCAGTATTTGTAGTTCAAGTTCTTTCCGTTTCCGTACTTCTTGACACTGTGCCTAACAAACACAGGGAAAAACACCATCTCTATCAACTATCGCTTTGGAGCAGGTTAAGGGTAGAAATGCTGGTAGAGTTGGATTTACTGTTGTGCCCGTAGTACACAGAAGACAGCACTTGAAGCATTTTCATTTAGAGGGCTATTACCAACATTCCTTATACAACTCATTTTGCCAACGTCAATATTATTACTTTTCCTTTCAATACAATGACTTCCATTACTGTTTTCTGTTTCTCAAATTTCTCCTTTCTTTACAGCTTAACTTTCTGTGCTTCCAACCAAAAACTGCGAGGCTCAGCAGTAGAGCACAAATGAAGCTGTCATGAATATGCATGACTTTATATAACAACACATCTATCTTTAGTAAAAAGAGCCACTCCAATTGTGCAAACTATGTGCGTGTATAACCTTGTGTTCCTATTTTTATTAAATGTCTCCAACCTGCTCTACTATCTGTACTCCTGTTCATGTGGATTTTTCTCAGCAAGAGTTCTTTCCTCCTGTTTGTGAGGCACCGAACAGAATGGGATCCCCAAACCTCTTCTGAAGACAGATAGCACTGCTTTATAAAGAATAGGAAATGCCAGGTTATCACCAGCACTCACACTTCACAGATGAAGTTTATTGTAACTGAGATTGCATTAGTATATATGCTTATTGCAGTTTTTTAACAGACAGCTCATCTGTTCAAATTAGGCTTCCTGCTCCAACTACTACTGGCAGTTTCATATCTTCTGAACCTCACTGGCACTTTCCCTTTCATCCTCTCTCCCAATTCTAACACCGCTCCCCTAGAAGGAACAGACTTTAGAAAAACTTCAGAAGATATATACTCAATTGTTGTAAATAAGCCCTTTTTCAGAATACTAGATATGCTAGCACTAGTAGAAAGGGAGATGAAGTACGAGCGAGAGGGCAGACCAAGAGGTGCAGAATGCTCGCATGGCTCTTACATCAATACCCTATTTGCTACAACTCCCCAGCAAATTACCCCCCTTAGCTCTGCCTACAAGCAGCATTAATTTCCAGGCTTTCAAAAATTCCTTATATGAATATTTATGTAAAAGGTCGACTTTTTAACAGCAATAGAGGGGTATGAAATTAGAAAACATTCTAATTAAAATGTATCATCTACTTTTAGCACTCTTACAGAAAGATTTTTGAAGGCAGTCATGGATTTTTGAATATCTGGACGATCCGGGTGATAATCCTAAAAGCAACATAGAAAAACATACTTCAGTTCTAGCAAGATTAATATTTTAGAGACTCCACTAAAAACAAATAAACAATTCTGTAAAAACAGAAGTTGTAGACCTATCTGCTTTCTTTTCACAGCCTTGTTATTCTTACATCATACACTGGTGGCTTGTACTAAGAATCACTTATAATATTCCTACTTATTCTCAAAATAGAGCCAAGGAAGTTTTAAAAGACCTCGTGGACAAAAGATTTTGAAATCCTAACAGGAAAGTGTTCATTTTGAGTATTATTTGGCATGTTAGCTTTGTCACGAACTAGATTCCTTACAGAATCGTATGTTCCGTTGTCACGGACTGACTAACCAAACTGTGTGACATGACAAAGACCCATATGCTTTCTATTTCTCTTCCTCCTTCACACTCCAAAAATCTAACCTATAAAATGCAAAGGTGGAAGCAGCAGCTCCTCAAACACCTTCCCATACCAGAAAGATAATTTCTGGATGGTATTCAGTAGAAGTCCAAGGGACTATTTTGGTGCCATGTTGGACGCACTGAGGTCCTAAGGTGAGAAGCAGCACTCCTGCTACAAGATAAGGCAGCCTCAAGCAGTATGCAGGAGCCACATTCAACGTCAAGCAAGACCCTGCACAACAGTTCTAGGAGCGAAGGTTAGCTTCGTGGGCTAGTTTTACTTTAAACGTTTCGCTTTTACAGGAAGTTTTGGTGCACTAAGTTTTAAACCCTTGCAGCTCATATTTTAGGAGGCTGACGGAAGAGCAAACAAACATAATTTGGGGTCTCATCATGTTTGACATGTACCTTTAAAATAATTGTTGTCAAATCATCATTAAGCTGGAACATAAATGCTGATAAGATATACCTCCATGTGCCTTTCAAGTTCTTTGAGTAACGTGGGGTATTTATCCAGACGCATAAAGGGTTTGCTGAGGCCCGTGGTCAGTACAAGGATCCCAGGGCTGTTGGCACCTTTCATCTCCATGAATTCTCCTAGCTCCTCACTGCGTACACAAGATATTTAAGCAAATTATGATCAAATTACCGAGACAATTAAAATTACATTGGATTCTACACTTCAGTTTTTCCTCTGCAATGAATTCTGCCAATAAAACAAGAGGCCAAATAAATCAAAGTCATTCAAGTACAACTTGAATCAGTTTCTGCATTAAATAAAATACAAGAACAAAGGCATTTCCAGATTTAGGGTCCACCCAGGGAACAACCCCACCGTTCTAGCGACTCATGCTGAAAGACAGTTCCTAAAGGCTACCCCATCTGAGCAAGTGTTACAGAATAAAGCTTTTCATGCTGTATTTTATTACTCCTCTCTTTGTTCTAGTAAAATGACATCTGACCTTAGAGATGATTTACACAGACAGACAAGCATAAGTGAGTCAACAGCTTCATATTTAATCAAGCATCGATATTTTTAAGGTGTCAGGCACTAATGGGAAGACACAATGTCTCAGAACCCTTTTTCCTCCCACATTTACACGTTTAATGACCTCATCTCACACATCCAAGGTGCTATTGCAAAATGACTCACTAACCAGCAGCCATACAAATGGTGGACTACAGTAGAAATAATTACAGACATCTAGACTCAAAACAAGCTAGCATTTTACTGAGGGTGTCCTTACACAACACACTTGTTTTGACAGCAAAGCTCCTGTAAGAAATCCATGCTTTCCAAATAACATGAACTGATACTTCCCCTGTCCAGATGGTTTTTCATATTTGAATAATTTCCAAGAACTGGCTCAGCCCTGAAACTTCTTACATTAACTCAGTTAAAAAAAAACCCAAACAAAACAGTGCATCCTGGAATTTCAGCTTCCTTTTCTATCAAGGAAACTTAAAATAGCTACCTCATCTGATTCAGTATATAAAGCACAGCTTTCCGAGGACTGTGGTGGAACACAAGCTTTTCTACAGTTTACATGACGAGGAACAAAACGAGCCCAATCTGTGGGGAAAGGAAGGTACAGCAACACCTGGGCTGACTTCCAGGCTTCAGAAAATATTAAGTTGCAGAAGAACATGGGATTCTAAAGACAAAATCTAAATAAAGGAAATTCAGAAAGCTTATTAAAAAGACAAGATCATCTTGCATTCAAGCAGTGTCATTCTAGATGTCTGCCGACGGGGTTGCTCATGTTTTGAGCACTTTTTATAGTAATTTAACTAGTTCTCAAAAGAAAACCACAACAAAATGGACTATTCTCATGTGACAGTCATGTCATTTATACTCTAAGATTACCTGAAAGTCCTTATTTTCTACTGATTAATAGCATTACACCCCCATAAGTCAAAATTACTACCTAAAAAGAAGTTCCTCCCTCCTTGGTTATTGGCATGGTCTCATTTTTCAATGGAAGCCTTAGCCACCTACCAGATGCAGTACTTTGAGAAAGCGTAAAACCAGAGTCAAACATGAAAGAGAAATAAAGGAGGAACACTTGTACATTATGGCCATGTTAAAAAGGGAAGGGCAAGGATCCCCAAACCTAGGGAACAGTGTTTCCACACAGAAACAAAAGCAAATCTTGACCTGCTCAATTTCCCTAGGAAAAAACAACACTGGTAAGACACTACCATAATACACACACTCAATCATCAGTGAATCATGCCATATAAAAGCATTACATAAAGACAAAAACAGACCTCCCTACCTCCCCCAAGACACACACACACACTCTCCTTCCCATTTCAGAACAAGTGATACTGTGCTTATTAATGCCCTTCGTGCAAATAGATGGAGAGCAGAGCAAGAACGTGAACCATGTCCTTCCCATCCCAATGTAAATGCTTTACCCACCATCCAACTCGGATTGCTCTCCTCTGGGCTGCTAAAGCTTCCCCAAGTTCACAGAAGAGAAAGTACTTTTGCATACAGTTCACTCCAATGTTTACTTGTCTTCAGATTAGTTAAGTGCTATTTAATTACTTTCCTAAACACATCCAGCACCGTTTCTGAATTGTCAGGTCTGACACAACCCTTGTCAGGGCACCTGGCCCAGGGACTCCTCAGTGCGTGTATTTGTGCCGTTTCTGCTGTGTACTCACCCGCAGAGCGGGGAAAGAGGGTGCATTTCCCAGCACCTGCTCTGCCTTTCAAAGGTGCAAAGGGAAGGGCTGGGCACCCTTGAGACTGCCCACAGCTCCGCCGGGCAGGCCTCGCTACATCCCTCCCAAGTGACACATCAGCAGCTTCAGGCCTCCTAAAGTCAACTCAGCAACACCATCGGGTTTTAGCCAGAATTAAAAGCCCCTAAAAACCTCCTACCGCACCTTGCACGAAAAATTATAATAATGCCACACAGATCAAGCCAAATACTTCTCTGGCTTAAATTTAGCTTTAAAGAAGTAAAGCTGGCCAACTCTGAAGACCTACTTTGCCTTACACTTTCTTAGCCACGACTCTTAGCACAAAAACCACACCAGCTTCAGAACTTGACAACTGATCCTGGTGGCACCCTAAACTCGAGTAAGGATTTTGCCTCACGTTTTGGTTTTACGGTGTTACCATCTACTTGTTCACCGAGAAGTCAGGACAAGTCTCTGGAACATTAAGCTGAATGGCTACCGTGTGGTGGCACGTCCTCTCCTCCCGACTCAGCTGAAAGGGAAGAGCCGTTTCCAGCAAGGTGATGGGACAGGCAGAGGGTACAGTGCCTGATTTCCATAGGAAAAACTTTACCAAAGCTCAGCCTATGGAAGCCCTTCTGTCAGAAGGCACTCAGTGGTTTTAAAATTCAATTCACTGTGTGTATGATACTGTTCATGTGCATGCCACTCCTTTCTGTTTTATCCATTAATTCTCCCTGTAAGCACCCCATCCATGTCAGCATCATAAAGTTAGTTATCCAATACCATATTTCATCTATCTTCATCCGTTTTAAGTGAAAGACGTTTGCTACAAGAACTCACTGTAAGCTCATTCTTTGCCTTTTGGTTGCTTCAGCCAGACAGAGTCCCCGCTGTCTAACTTTATCAACTATTCCCTTTCACATTATCTGCTCTTCTCCCCCATTTCAGGCAGCATGATCCATACACCTATCTACACAGCTTCTCTCCAACACAGCAGGATGTTCTATGGGACGTGCCAATCACAGATACCACAGGCTGTTCAATTTCACATTGTACTGAACAGCACTCATTTTTGCCTTTAGACTGCAAAGAGCCAAAACCCCCTAATTCTTAATTACTTCGTCCATCTCCATGCTGTTGGGTGCATACAAATGCATTATATAAACGGTATTTGCTGAGCTATCCACTAACACAATGCTTGCTCCCCCACAATTTAATGACTCTACAGTAGGAGGAACATCAGTTACCATTTCACCCACACTGACATTTCTAATTTTCATTATCACAGTTCCATTTCTTCCAGGCTCCAGCATTATGAAACAGATGTGCCAGGAATCGGGAAGAAACTCACCATAGCCTGAATTAAAATCAACTACTTGGATATCTGAAGTAAAAAAGTTGATATCATCTTGTTTTCTGCTGTCTACACTGCAATTCCTTTAAACTAAACACACTGGGTGGTTAAGCAAGGTTGCAGCAGTTTCCAAGCCATTCACTGCTCTTCCACACAAGATACTTGCTTGTTCATTTCCTCCTTTTTACTTAATCACAGTACAGGAACCTACAAGGCAAGTTTAAACCTCAGCTCGCTTGAAACATACAAAGTCCTGAAGAACATGTTTAGCAATGCCATCATCAGGAAGCCCTTTACACCGAGCAGTGTTAATACGTGTAATTAAAACTGAATGATGTGGTTTTCCTCCCAAGGTTCCTGAGGACAATGTTTTCTTTCATACCCCTCTGTGCTTCCCTCTGACAAGTTTCGACATGCCAGCCTGTTCAACCTCTAGTATGAGCACACACATTTTCAAGACAACAGTACCCAAAATTTTGTCTGAGGGGACCCACCATGCAGACCCCTTTAGTAGTCTGCTCATGTTAAACCAACCTGTTATCTCTGCGGCTCCGTGGACATAACAATACCTGGCAAAACAGACACTGCTCAACGCTTAAATAAGTGCCCTTCATTTATTCACAGAGGACAAATACAGTACAGAACATAACGGAAAGGTTTACTTCCAATAAAGCAGCGGTCGGTTAAAATACTGTTTGAGTATGACAACAGTTCACAACTGTTTTTTAATTAATAGAAGCTTAAAAGTCAGTGTTGTTAGCCTAAGAGCACAGCTGCTTTGCCAAAGACAATGGCTCTTTCATGTCACAGTTTCAATGGATGCCTGCATGTACCACACTCTCCTAGGCAGTATATGCTAAACAAAAAACTCTGCTCACAGCTAAGCATTACATTATTAAAAAAAGGTATCATTTAGCTCAACAGGAAAAAACAGGAAAAGCAGTGAAATCATCAGCTTAAAACTAGATGATCTTTAAGGTCCCTTCTGACCCAAGCCATTCAGTGATTCTATGAAACGCCTGAATAAGTAGCTTTTCAGAAAGAGGCAGCAGAGATTTGAATTCACCACTTACGTCATCTCACAGACTAAAATGCAGAGAAGCACACAAAAGTGCTGCGATTCACGTATCCCGAAATCTCGAGCTGAGGAGTCCTCCCCACTCCAAACTAGAGTTAGTTCACAGCATGCCATATTTTAAAGGTCATCATGAAAAGTGTCTTTAAGCCCTATTAATATATTCCAATCTGGTTTGCAGCTTTTGAGGCAGCCGCGCTCAGATCAGGGGCGGGGGGAGGAAAGAAAACAAGTTCAGATGTGCCGACAGCAACAGAAGGCAAAAAAAAAAAAAGCTATTTAAAACGTGAGGAAAGCACATCCAGGAACTAAAACACCTATGTTGAAAATCACAACTTACGCTTCCGAAGTAGGTCTCTGTTTGTAATAGATGGAGCACGAGCTATCACTGCTGAGGGGTCTGAGGACTGCACACAGGCACCGCATCTTGAGAGGGCTGGGGCACAGCTTGGGTCAGCAGCCCCTCAGCCGCAGCTTTTAAT